AAAACCACAATGATGGCAAGAGAGGAATATACTTCACACTGGTATCAGTAATACTAAAAGTGGCGACTACTTACTCAGTAAAGCCTGTAGAACCTAGCCTGCAGAACCTTGACATACATTATTTTCTATTTCTTCTAACGACCTTACAAAATAAACATAACATTTCAAGGATATTTACTGTTTTGTTTTGTTTTTTAAGACAAGGTTTGTGTGTGTAGTTTTGGTGCCTGTCCTGGAACTCACTCTGTAGACCTGGCTGGCCTCAAACTCACAAAGATCTGCCTGGCTCTGCCTCCTGAGTGCTGGGATTAAAGGCGTGTGCCACCACTGCCCGGCGATATTTACTCTTATTAGAAATGCAACTACCTCAACAAACATGTATCTAAGGCACTGTAAGTAGGAACTGAGGCTCAGGTTTAGCTGATCGTCTACTTGCTAAAATATACTCTATGTATTGGATTCTGAATAATATCAAGGAGTACTATCAGTAGACTACTGGAGCAAATTAAAGGAAGGGAGGTTAAAATCTTAAAATACTTTAATAACAGCAATATACTTTATCAACTTCATGAGTTTACTTGAGTCTTCCACAATCCTTTACAAAACAGTTGAGTAACCCACCCTGGGTATTTAGTTGCTTTGATTGACTAGGGAAAAAAATGTGAAGATGTATCTGGTATATATTCTAATAAAATGGATTATGATGCTAATAAAAGAGAACAGGGAAACTACAGGAATTTCAGTTAACATGTCTTTAGTTTTAATTTATTATTGTGGGGGTAATAAGTGTAAAAGTGTGGGTGCACATGTGAAGGCCACATGACAACTGTCAGGTTCTCTATGTCATAGGTTCCAGGGATTGAAATCAGGTCACCAACACTGTGCAGCAAACACTTTTACCTGAGTTAACTTTTAACTACCTCTAGTCAGTCTACTTAAGTGGACCTATTCAGAAATCAGACAATGTGATAGCATTATGGAAGCAGATAAATATATTTAACAAAGCATCTTCTTCCGGGTATCCCCTTTTTTCCTGCAAGTGAGTTCAAAAGTTCATGTTCACCCCTCACTAAGGACAAGTATCCAATCACAGCTCAGAGGCTTTCTGAACAGAAGCCTAACTTAATTATCTAAAGAATTTTCCTTTTCCAAAAATGGAAATAGGTTCCATGGTTCAAAGTGAGAGAAAAACAAAATCGCTAATGGCCTGGAAAATCTATGCTCATTACCTTCAAATTGGCAACAGTCTTTAAAAGTCAAAGGCTAGTAACTTAGCACACCATTCTGTTAATTCTCAACTTTCCAAGTCAGTTGCTTGTGAAGAACCTAAGAGAGCACCATTCTGTACAGGCGTACTTAGACCAGACATAGCAACTGCTTCAGAGATACTGAAAACTCCCTTTTCTGAGTTTTAACATGGCCTACGAAATTCCTATTTGCTATGGTTCCTACCTGCATCAATATCTTTAGGAAGCACACTTTCTTCCATGTGTTTATATGGTCTAGCCACACTGACAAACCAAAGTAAAGTTTACTGGTAGGCCTTCTCTTAGGACCCTTAATTTGTGGTTTCCTAGACTCACAGTAACTACAATTTTCATCAGGAAATTAAAGCACTTTTTGGATGATTATGTTTCAAAGTATTTTTGTTAGGATGACGAACAAGGCAATCGCGCTAACAATAGATTTATATTCCAGAGAAGGAAAGAGAGCAAAAAGGCCCAAACTGTGTGTGCATATATTGAAAGTAAGTGTTTCTAATGAGTGCTGCAAAGGAAAACAAAATAGGTAATAGGAGAGAATGAGGTTTGTCTTTTAAAGCTGGATCTTCTGTTTTTTTGTCTTTCAAATTGAAATTGGTAGAAACTTGAACAAGGGTAAAGAACTGAATAATCACAGATCTGGAGCAAAGCTTTTAAACAGAGGGAACCTCAAATGAACAGGGAAGGATACACTACCTTACTGAGTAGATGATCAGTTTGACTGAGCCCAGTGAGACAAGTGATAAGAGGTAAGACTATATAGCAAAAGGCAGAACCTGTATCCTGTAGGTACTTTGTAAAGCCTAAATTTTAGGTTGTGACAGGAAGGAAATTTGAGCAGGGGTACAGTATATTATTATTTACATTTGGAGATCATATGAATGTTATTGAAGAACACAATGTAGATGATCAAGAACATCAGGGAGATATAGAAGGCGGAGGATGCCCAGGCAAAAGATGAAAAGTTAAAATAGGGTGAGAGAAACCAAACTGCACAGAGCCATATGAATTCAGAATGTAATCTGAAGGGAAGAGTTGACAACATTCATCAGTGGAATAAAACACAAGATATGAGGAAGGCCACTCATGATGACCATGACTTTTGTCTCATTTACAGGAATGTTTCTGACCACCACATATGCAGGAGCCTTGGTTGACACAGGTAAACCTTGGACACAGATATTATGTAATATGTTCTAGTTCAATGAATAAACAGTTCCCAATAGACCTAAAATAGTGCAATTATTTTGGTGAGAAAATATTAAGATTGTTGGGTGTAAAAATTAAACACTTTTGGGGAAAACAAAACATGACGATAAACATCCACAAGTTTAAATGAAGTTAAATGCTCAAGTAGCTAAGCCTAGTGGGGATTCTTTTCACTCTAACCACCACACATTTCCCTGAACTCGAAAATTCAATTTAAAGCACCATATGCTTGAAAATGGAATGGAATATGTGCATGTAAAAACTGCTCATTTATGGAGCTAGAGAGATGGTACCATGGTTGAGAGCACTGGCTGCACTGTCTAAGGACCTGGGCTTGATTGCCAGCACCTATATGGCAGCCAACAGCTGTCAGTAACTCCAGGTTCCAGGAGACTGAACATGACTTCTGGACTTTGAAAATATTGTACACGTGGTACACCGACTTAAGTGCAAGCAAAACACACACATATAAAAGTAAATAATTTAAAAAAACTGCTCATTCACAAGGAGAAATCACACAATTTAACCAACAGTGTTTTGCTAGAAGATTATAATATTCTCTACATCTGGAAGGGTGTATGTGGCACATGTATATTTTTTTGAGACAGTTTATGTTAATGTGTACATTCTTATGTTTATGTACATAGATAGAGCCAGAGACCAACTTAATGTGCCATTTCTCAAGTGCCAACCACCTTGTTTGTTTTTGGTTTTTCCTGACAAGGTTTCTCTGTGTATCCATCCCTAACTGTCCTGGAACTCACTCTGTAGACCAGGCTGGACTTGGAACTCAAAAATCCTGCTTCTGCCTCCTGAGTGCTAGGAATAAAGGTGCACATGTGCCACCACGCCTGGCTTGTAACTTTTTTGTTTGTCTGTTTTTTGAGACAGGGTTTTCTTTGTGTAGCCTTAGCTATCCTAGAACTAGCTCTGTAGAATAGGCTGGCCTGACCTCACAGAGATCCCCCCTGCCTGTCTCAGAGTGCTGGGACTAATGGGTGTGCATCACCACTGCCCAATCACCTTGTTTTTTGAGCCAAGGTCTCTCACTGGCATGGAATTTGCTGATTAATCTAGTCTGTCCCGCTGGATTCTACGGATCCATCTGCCTTTGTCTCCCCATCTGGTGACAGAATTACAAGTGCAGACGAGCTCATGTGCAGTGAGTTTTCTTTTCCACCTTCATGTGGATTCTGGAGGTTGAACTCCTGATTATCAGGTTTGAGAACAAGTGATTATTCTAGCTGAAACCATCTAGCCAGTTCAGGGAATAATTTTAAATGTGAGTTGTTGATAACGTCAGATTGCTCCTTTTTGTGGATCATGTCACTCCTTGACATTTTTTTTTTCCAGACAGGGTTTCTCTGTGTAGCTTTGCACGGAAAATACTTATTATTTTACCAGAAAAGGAGAGAGAAAGAGAGACAGACAGACAGACAGACAGACAGACAGACACAGACACTTGGTTATTTTCTCTAATACCAAGAATACCAAGAGTAGTGAACCGGTATATGTAAATTTAAGCCATGTGGTAATGTGAAAATAACTTTGCCAGCTTTCAGAAAAAAAAAATCACTTTCAATTAAAGAAAGGCACATCAGCCTAATTTACAGAAGTAGTTAAAGAATGATAAGGAATATGACATCATCTTTGTATCAGTTCCCATGTTTCTGCAGCTGCAAAAAGAAAACTCAGTTATAAAAACTGTGGTTTATAACCAGTCTCATCTACATATATCAGCAATGAATAGAAATACTCTGCAGGAGAATATTACTCCCATATATGCAGATAAACACTTGCTTTCAGATCCGTAAGTCAAGAACACAACCAGTTATATAGATAGATATATATGTGGGCAAAGGTTCCAAGTACTTTAAATCACTAAGTCTGATACAAAGATGATGTCATATTCCTTATTATTCTTTGATAACATGAACTGACATCAGATGATCATAATAATAACTAATCAACATAGACACAAATTACAATGCTAGAAGATAAAAAGTAAAAGACATGAAAGATACACAAATTTTACCTCTAATTAGGAATTCTGTGATAAAAATTCATCAAATTTCATTCAACTGACTGAATTAAGAATCAATCCTGCTGGGCAGTAATAGCAAATGCCTTTAATCCTAGCACTCAGGAGGCAGAAGCAGGCAGATCTCAGTGCGTTCAGAGCCAGGTTAGTCTACAGACTAAGTTCCTGGATGGCGGTAGAGGAAGGGAGATGGCCCTACACAGAGAAATCCTGTCTGAAAAACAACAAAGGAATTTAAAAAAAAAAAAAACAAAACAAAACAACAAAACGAACAACAGCGGCAGCACACAGTCACTAAGGAGGATTATAACTGTAATTATAGTAAGTCTTGGGTTTTCAATGACAGACCAGTGCCATTTCATTAGATAAAGAGGAAAGCACAGAAATAAAATTACAAGGATTGTTTTATACTGTAGTCTAAAACACAAAACAATAGCAGAGATAACAGAGGACAACAAAGGACTAGCTAGAAAGCAGGAAATGAAAACACACAAGCACACGAGGCCCCACTCTGATCTCATGGCTTTTGCATTCCCAGACTCAACAGCAGATATTCAGGAAAGGCTCTGAGGGAATCTTTCTTCATTTTACTAGCCTACTTCCACTCTTATTAGGCCCTTTTTATTTCTTAATAAGTGATGTCTACTTCATGCCTAACTTAAAAGGCATGACATTTTCTCCAACCCTTTTCTTGGTGAGTGCTGCAATTTTCACTTCACCTCACTGGTTTTATCTTAAACTCTAAATAAATAAAATTTAAAATTAAAATGTCCAGGGAAAAAGTAATCATGAATGTGCTGAATATAAAACATGCTTTGTCATTACTACCTAAGTAATGCAGCATAACTACTTATTAACTTACATGTAACATAACTTCCTACTTACATGGCATCGGGTATTATCCAGACACGACTTTTTACTTGAATTATAAGATGGATATACACACTAGACATACATAACTTTATAGACTTGAGCATCCTCAGATTTTGGGTGTGTAGGATGCTGTCCTGGACCCAATCCTCCAGGGACGCCAAGTGACAACTGCACTGCTCTTTTTCATAAGGCTCTGGCCACATTTTGGGAACTAAGTTTCAAATGTACTCACAAGCAAAGAAATGTATAAATGATTAATGTTTTACATAATCATATCAAATAAAATACTTGTTTTCATTAAATTAAAAATTCCTTATTCCCTCAAGTTGAAGTTACTCATTTTATAGTTTACAATAATTTTCCCCTCACTGTTCACCAATTATGTCACTCACATTTCTACAGGTGCACATTCCAAATACACAAGGAACTGCTTCCTGTTTACTACTGAATATAAGAGAACCATAGAGAAATCCTGGCTTTCAAGCAATACAAATCTGATTCTAGCTCTTGCTTTCAGCAAATTAATAAACTGTGTAGCGTTCCTAAGTCACTTATGGTATCTAGAACATATTTTTGACCTGTAAAAACGTGTACGTTTAAGGTATATAAATAAACATAATGCCTGGGATATTGAGATGGCTCAGTGGGTAAAACACTTAGCATACAAACCTCATAACCCGAGCTTGATCCCTAAAGTGTAAGAGAACTAATTTCACAAAGTTGTCTTCGGATCTCATGCACACACCCTCCACCACTTAAAAATTAAAACCATAATACCTGGAATAGGGACTGTAAGTTTCCTTCCTTTTCTCGTCCCATAAACAACATTCCTTTGACTCTGGGAACTAATTCTCTAACAGAATGAATTCTTAGAAAACACCGTCCAAAGCAACAAATGGACGGTGTTTTAAAGCATTCAGGTAAAAATTTCCCATTAGTAACTTAAGTAAATCAGTTTAAGCAAGAAAGGTAAGGCCTTAAATTGAACACACACACACACACACACACACACACACACACACACACACACACACACACGATTCCATAATACAATTTATAAGAGTAACATAAAAAACATTTCTCCTTCATTTTGAGATAGTTCTAGTGAATAGGCAATTCTGTTGATGTTTCCTCGAAATATATAGCTTCCATACAAGCACCCCAAATTTTAAAACATACACTTCCACAGTAACATTAACATTTATTTCTCTGAAACATTTGTAGAAGAAAATATTTTTAATGCACATTCAACAAACTCAAAGTGGATCAGCTCCATATAAATGAAGAATATTAAAGTACAATCTTCCTGAAAGAAAGCATACAGCAAAAATTGCTCAGAGTCTTAAGTTAGGCAAAAATTTCTTACACTATGACACAAAAGGCAAAGGGTGGTCAAGGAAAAACAAATGAATCACAGTAAGGTATTGCATTATGAGAAATACGGTTAAGTTATTTTGTTTTGGTCTAAACATCCTACTCTGTACTTACACAAACCTAGACAGAATAAGGCAATCACTCAATGTGGTCTTTAGATGCAATCCAAAGACACATAAGATGTACAAGGATGCAACCAATATAGCACTACATACTATGTTGCAGCAAGTGTTATTTAATAAACAAGAAAACACCAACAAGTACTGTACCAAAGCCAGGAGATGGATCAGCAGTGAAAGACTTCCTAAGCAAATCTAGCAATCATGGCACATGTACTCACATATATCATGCACACACAAACAATAAAATAAAATGAAAGTAAAATAAAATGGCTAATGATCTGAAGAGACATTTCTTTACAGGTATACAAATAACCAATAAATACTTAAAAAGAGTTACTGTATTGACTCAGTAATTGTACTCCTAAGTACATGCAAAAACTGAAAGCACATCTTCACATGAAGAAACCAGTATATGAATCTTCTTATCAATATTGTTTGTAGAGTCAAAAGGAAGAAATAACCCAAAGCACATCAAAAGATGAACAAACAAAATGTCGCAGAACCACTACTGGAATACTATTAGATCAAAGAAAAAGTATTAAA